CTGCTCTGTGTTTCGACCCTAGTGGGACCTTATTGGTTACTGCCTCCATACATGGAAATAACATAAATATCTTCCGCATCATGCCTATTCAGAAATGCAGTGCATCGGGCTCTAGTGACTGGAGCACGTCGTATGTGCATCTTTATAAGCTCTATCGTGGTATAACCAGTGCCGTAAGTATATATATGCCCACTGTGCTTTTTTCATTATTATTCTTCTGTGCTACCATCTCTTCGAAGAATGTCTGAATATTCTTGAATTTATCAGGTCATCCAAGATATCTGCTTTAGTCATTACAGTCAGTGGCTTGCAATTGTATCAACAAGGGGAACTTGCCATATCTTTCTCCTGTCACCCTTTGGAGGTGATGATGGCTTTCAAACTCTTTATAATTCTGTCCAAGGTACTTCTCTGTATCTAGCCTCCACCACACCATGGTGGTCAAGTTCATCTTTCGCTGTAAATGAGCAACACCCTTTGCCCCCACCTACTTGCACCCCCTCTGTTCTGGCCAGGATAAAATGCAACGACTCTGGCCTGCTTAATTCAGTGAGCAATGCTGCTGCTTCAGTGGTGGGTAAGTTGTGGGTCCCATCAGGGGCCATTGCTGCAGTGTTTCATAATACTAACTCTGCTGATGTTAAGCCGAGCGGTAGCTCATTGGAGCATATCTTAGTGTATACTCCATCGGGCTTTGTTGTTCAGCATGAAATTGTGTCTTCTCCGGGATGCCATGAACAGACTGAGAGCCAGAGTGAATACTCATCGGTCAACACACAAAACGAGGAGTTGAGGGTGAAGGTCGAGCCCATGCAGTGGTGGGACGTGTGCAGGAGGATGGGTAATTTGGAGAGAGAGGAGTGTATTTCTGGGAGTATTTTTGATGGATCGAGTGATGCCGAGACTGAGGACGAGACGAAAATGGTTTTTGGGAAGAATTCGATTTCTGGAGATAAGAGGTTGGTTAAGAATAATAGTTCACTGAAGTGGGTGGACAGATCGCACTGGTATCTGTCGAATGCTGAAGTTCAGATAAACTCGTGTAGGTTACCTATTTGGCAAAAGTCGAAGGTAATTTTGATTACATTGTTGATTTCCATTTGTTTTGGGATGGTTTTACTTACACTAACCTGATTTTTTGATTTAGATGCAATTTCATGTGATGGAACCTCCAAGAGCAGAATGTTATTCGCACGGGGAGTTTGAGGTCGAGAAGGTTTCTTCGCATGAAATTGAGATAAAGCACAAGGATTTGTTGCCAATATTTGATAATTTCCCCAGAGCAAGATCTGGCTGGATCGAGGGGTGAATATCATATTTCCTGGTTTTTATTTTACATTTACATCTTGTTTTATATTCGTTCCTTTCCTTGTATCTTTGGTACACAACCTCCAGTCAATTTGCACATCAATTTCTGAATGATTGTTCAAAAGTGTGAGAGAACAATTCAGTGTGAAGGCTGATATATCATCTTAATTAGGCAACTCGTCTTGCATATTTCAATTCGTATCATATAGTTAAATACAAAATATATAAAAAAATATAAAAAGGGAAAAAGGAAATAAAAAGTTCAATCCATCCATTTGTTTGTTCTATCTCAAGCAGTCAGTTATGGTGGTCCATTTGCTGCATGCTGCTATCTTTATCAGCATTAGAAGTGTTCTGGTATGTGGTTGATTGTGTAGGATAGTTTCAACATGGATTCTTATGGAAGGTTTGTTGACTCATTGAAGTGGTATTGCCGCTAGTGCTGAGTGATGACTTCTTGGTTTGTTTTTTCCCACAAATCGTAACTCAAGATGTGTGCACCATTTTCCATGTTGGTTATTCTATTAGCTGGTATATATAGCTTATAGTTTCCCTCTTCTTTCTTTTATTTATACCCCAGTTCCCCACTCACATGCGTCAAACAGTAGGTATTTTTTTTTTTACTTGTTAAGCCTTCTGATTTCCTTATTGCTTGGTGTTTTGCAGATCTATACCTCCTGAAGGGAAAGATTCTAGTGCTCGGTCCAGTAGTTGTCAAGCTAGAGATAAAACCAATGAAGCAAGTATTTCACATCATTCAAAGCCATCGTCATTTAGTTCAACTGAAAGCTCGGAAGGTGGTAAGCTATTTTAGTCTTGGGGATTCTCTTTTCATATATTTCCCACCATTTTCTTCATGAAATTATTGAGAGTCTTCTGTCTTGAGTTTTGCATTTCCTAAAAGGGAAAAGAAATAGCACTGTTGAGAGTACGATTAGATTTAAAAGATAGCTTTGTTTTTTCGGACTGACTGCAATCATTCTATGATCTTTGGTTACAGGTGATTTTGGAATCTTTATTTGTACTATTTTTATTGTTTGCCTAACGTTCGCCATATGCCCTAACACTGGCATCAGCTTTTACATATTTTTCGGACCAAACTCATTTTCTACCCTTTTTTCTCCTTTCTTTTTTGTCAGGGTCATCTACGAAAACAGATAATTTGCTCGACTTGGACCGTATGAGCATCGTGAGATCTCCTGTACCACCCATCCATGCCCCGAGTGATTCAAACACAGCAAAAGACCCGAATACAAAACTCAAAGTTCCCTTAACTGACCCGAAATCGAGGCCCATTGATTTGCCGTTGCCACCCAAAAACACTCACAATGCCAAATTCTCACCGGAAAACGAGATCCCATCACTAAATGTAGCTGACATTCTCGTGCCTTTAAAAACCGAGGAAAAAACTGTAGATTCCGAGCAGTTTTTCAAGGAAGAGTACTGTAACAAGCCTGAATTTGGCGAGGCCTTGAATGATGAGCTGGACGATTATAATAATAGCCATCACGAAGAGGAAAAACGAGTCGAGGAAGAAGGGTGGATTGGATGTGGCGGCATGTTTGATTTCTCTGAAGAAGGTGCGCGTGTTTTTTATTATGTCTATGTCCCTATTTCTTGTTTAATTACCAATGATACCCTTTTTGAGTTTTTTGCCTAATTACGGAACGCTCCATCTGTCTTTCGAATTTACAGATTCCCCCCTTGATAATTGTTATTGGATTTCATCTTTAAGATAGTTTTTATGTCTATGTCCTTATTTCTTGTTTAATTAACAAGGATACCCTTTTTGAGGATTTTGCCTAATTACGGAATGCTCCATCTGTCTTTCAAATTTGCATATTCCCTTCCTTGATAAATGTTAATTGGATTTTTCATCTTTAAGATAGTTTTTGCAGTGGTCATCTAGTTTTACTCTACACGTACACGGCAATTGGTTCTAGTCGTTCATAAACTTGTGCTCCGAAAAGACATCTGATCCAAAAATTTCGATACTTTTCTTTTTGTGTTTGCAGGTTAGTTGCTTCTTCTTCTGGAGAAGAATAGCATCAGTTGGTCGAAACATTAGAATTTTATACATGCGCGATTGTGTGCTTGAGTGAATTCTTATTTCCCATGAAAATGTGAGCTATTTTTCACAAGCAGTTGCTACAAATGTAGCTGTGTATAGATTTGTTTCTGGAAAATTTGAAGGGAAAAATGAAAAAGATAAGAATTTTTTTACGCTGGTAGATATGGTTTCACAGTTTATTTGTTCTTGATGTTGGGTTGGTGGATATTGTACATATTTGGCTAATGGCTTGTGGGCTGTGGCTTTCAATTTGTGTAACGATTTTTTTTTTTTTCGACTTAAAAATGGGTAAAAAGAAAAAAGAATTATTGAAAAGCAATGGAATCATTATAACTGTTAACTTTCCTGTATTTATTGTGCAATGTGATTGTATTATTTCATAATTTTGTTTGTGATGTATAAATTGAATTCTTGTTGGTTTGTCATATTCTGTAAACAAAAATGTATATTTTTACAATTATATATCATACTTCAATTTATATTAATTTTCAATATATGATACTTTTTAATGGGAATATCCATGTTTGTAAGTTTTGTCCAATCAAATAGAAACTTGGTCAAATGATTAGAGACGCCGTTCTAATCATTCATCATGCACACGAGTTGGGGCAATTGCCTACAGAAATTATCTTCAAATAATTTTTTAACTCTCAAAACTTAAAAATTCACTCAATTTTATCCAACTAAATTATTTTTAATATTATCAATATAATTAAATAATATTAACCAATCATTCTCACACATCATATTAATTTTAATTCGTTATTCATTCACTAACATATTTTTAGCTATCCATCACTTTGAATCATCTCATCCATTTACATATTTTCAGTTATCCATCACTTTGAATCATCTCATCCATTTACATATTTTCAGTTATCCATCCTTTGAATCATCTCAGTCACGTCAACTTTAATTATCATATTTTAAATATTATTTAAGTACAAACTTAAAATCTCATTAAATTCTCCATATTAACTTTATTCAACAAATCCAATCAAAACAAAATTATTTTACCGCATTATCCAGGTTGTGATGCGAGGCCTTAAAAGTGACATTATATATTACTTGTTATAGTTAAACTCAAGTGTATTAATGGCTAGAGGTGTTGGGAGATCAAATGAAGGCACGACAAGATTTATCAGATAAATTGGATTAGTAAGCAAATCTTGGATTAATCATCATTACCTAAATCACATGGATTTAGTTGGATGGTCAAAAAGGATTTTCTCTAGAAACTTTACAGTTAATTTAGGGGAAAATAGAGATAATCCTCTTTTTTTTTTTTTCAGCAATCATTTGAGAGGTGCCATAATAGGGAACACTGCAAGTCTGCAACCACATCCACCTACATAAACTTATAAAATAACCAAAAATATCCATCAATATTTTCAAGATTTTACAGACATCCCCACAACACACAAGTTTCAATTCTACAGACTGCACCTACATCTGCAGATCTAAAAGATAATATGTAGTTGAAAATTCTTGAAAACAAGCTAATCCACAAAAGCATTCCAAAATCATATATATTTTTATTTATTTATTTCTTTTCCTTTCCAAAGTATAATTGCATGTGTTTTGTGTATGTATATATACTGGATGGACTTACTATACTTTAATAAAAGAAATATCTCCTCCTTGGCCTCGTTTTGTTGGCGGGAGGCGTCACCTCCAAATTTCCCGGGAATTCCCACTTCACAATGTCCCCATCCCAAGACGAGCTCACGAGCATCGGGTAGTTCGGGTGCCAGCTGCAATCCCTAACCGTCGATCTATGGTGCCGCAATTTCGCGACCTGGGCCCCACTTATCTGAAGTTTGAGAAAAATAAATTTACTCGAGAAAAATGAATCTTGATAATCGACACTGATTATTTTTATGCTAAAAATGAATCTTGATAATTTTGGTTCTATTAGATTATGAAGGTAACAATTTAAGTCTTGTAATTTAGTATTTTGCTGCAATTTCACGACAAGACTTAAATTGCTAATAAAAAAATTGCAGCAAAATAATAAATTATAGGACTTAAATTGCAATGTCACTCTACTGGCTGAATTGCAGTAAAATATTAACTTACAGGACTTAAATTGCTAATAAAAAAAGTTGCAGCAAAATAATAAATTATAGGACTTAAATGGCTATATATCACTCCAGTGAGACCTAAATTGCTACCTTCATAGGACCTAAATTGCATTTTAGCCATTATTTTTATTAAAATAGTAACATACCAAATCATAAATATAGATGCACGAATCATGAGATCCAGTGTAGATGTACTTTTGCCCCGTGCTGCGAATGTTGAAGAAAAAAAATTATTAAAATCGAAGCAATTTTGATAAGTAGGCGAAAATTATCGCATATATAAATAAATTAGCACTGACCTGTACTCAGGCGAGAAGTAGCAACGGATGAGAGTACGTAAAACCGAGTGACCTTTATAAGTAGCTATCGACTGATCATAAGGATGCTTTAGATTTCTTGCTTGGGAAGGATAATCCATCCATCTGTAATCCCATTCATAATTTCTGTATGCTTGATAGCTGAAAAAATTATTGAACACAAACCCAATTTTGTTCGTAAAAAGAAGGAATAATTGAAGGATATCTAAGAAGATTACCCTTCGAATTTGGCTTTAAATAAATAAATAAATGAAGGCACGGTTTAAAATACAAATACGCAACATAGAATAATTGCAATTGCGTGTGTATTAACCATAAAAATTTGAGTTCTGCGGACCAAAATAGTTAAAAAGTATGCAAAAATGCATTTTTAGTCTCGTTGGTTTGACGCTACAAAAATTTTAGTCACAAGGTTCCAACTTTTCGCCCTTTGGTCCTGTGATTTAATATTTGTTGCAATTTTAGTCCTTTGAGAATTGAAATTGCAATAGAATTTTAAATTACATGACTGAAATTGCGACAAATTTTAGATTACAGGACTTAAATTGCTAATCAAAAATCCATCCCAAAAACATAAATTTGGGAGTTCATTGAAATGTCAGAGTCTTCAAATGATTGAAATTGCAGCAAAATATTAAACCACAAGACCAAAAGACAAAATATTAGAATCTTGGGACTAAAATTGCTATAGCGTTAGACCATGTGAACTAAAAATGTAATTTAGCTTCTTGAATGAACCATACCAAGTAGCATTAGACGACATTTTTCGTATATCCCAGAGTTTGATAGCTTGGTCTTTCCCATTGGATATTAAATAACGGCCATCTCCACGGCTATCGAGAAACGTGATACCTTCAAGATGGCCCGTCAAGTACCCGGCGGGTGAGCTGTTAGACCGAAGGCACCGTCTATCCCAAACCTGTAAAAGAAAAGTAAAGATTATGCCCATGTTTGGCAATTGGGATTGCTAATGATAGGATTAGCAAGTAAATGTAGTTTGACTAGTTATTTGTATCGGCTAGTTGATATCTGATAGCTAATGATTCTATAATTGACAAGACCGAAGGCACCGTCTATCCCAATCCCAAACCTGTAAAATAAAAGTAAAGATTATGCCCATGTTGTGGCAATTGAGATTGCAAATGATAGGATTAGCAAGTAGATGTAGTTTGACTAGTTATTTGTATCGGCTAGTTGATATCTGATAGCTAATGATTCTATAATTGACAAAGAAACTGACACGGTTTATTGTTTGATTATTTCTTTTATTTTGTAAGCAATATAACCTTATAGGTCTTGTGTTTTAGTGAATAGTTAAAAGCGCAGATAGAAACATCANAAAAAAAAAAAAAAAAAAAAAAAAAAGTGATTGGTGATTGTTTTAGAATATTTAAATCATACAGATTTATTCAGTAGCTAAATTTTGTTAGTGCAAATAGCTAATTTAAAACCCAAATCCCTGTTCATCGATTCAATTAGAAGATTCAGTCGATCGATCCTCTAAATGGGTTTCAAAACTTCCAACCTTCGTTCAGATTTCTAAAATCAAAAGTTATTTAAAGAAGATGCTTTATTTAATAAAATTACAATTTACGGTATAAACAAAATGAAACACCCCAATATCGTAAGACGAGAAGGAATCAAAAGGAACAAATTCTTATAAGAACAGTCTATCTATCATTCGAATATCAATGGTAAAGTGATCAGGAAAGCATATTTCTTCGCAAGGAAAAAATAAAAATAATTGCTCAACGAAAAAGTCGAAATTAATGTCTCCGCATTAAGTAGAACGAACTAACAATGTGAAGGCATTATTATTACCTTACAAAAATTGTCATCGCTTCCCGAATAAATGAGATGGCCACTTTCATCAGCAAAGCATACAGTATTTACATCAGACTGCATGAAATAGGAAAAATGTGTAATGGTGAAAAATTAGATAAAGCTTTTTAAGCACTTTCAAGTTTTTCAAGAACCTCCTTAAGAGTATAATTGTGTAAGATAAAATAAATAAATAAATAATACTAAAATACAACTTAATTATTTGAAATGCATCATGTCGAATCTCCCAAGAAGTTAAATCAGTTAGAAAAGCTTTTTAATACCGAGAGGATATATTCATGAAGATTCCAACTTTTCAACTAAATGCACCAATGTAGTAGTAGCGATTAAAAAAATAAAAAGTAATCTGCAAGTATCTTGTAATCAGTTAAAGTAAAAATATCCTTTGCCGTGCAAAGAATCTCCCGACAGAAATTTAAATGAAGCAAATGATCGTATTGATAGAACAATGTGCCATGCAAATTTGTGCTTACCAAAAGTGGCTAAGCAGCTCAAAACAGGAAAAAAAAAAAAAGTTGATTTTCATAAATTTTATAGTAAGTGAACAAATCTACCGTATGGGCCGAGATTCGGAGGGAGAGTTTATTTGCTACGAGGTCATAAACGTAAATATCCTCATCACTGCTTCCAGCTACAATCTCTCGGCCATCGTTCGAGAACTTCAGAGAGAATATTCCGAAAGAATATCCCCTATCTTCAGGACACGAGAAATCGAGGCTTTCATGGATTTCCTGCATGTCAATTGTCAAAAGCCAAATCACATTTTTTCACTCGTCACGCAATCTGTTATATTTTCTTCAATATTTAGCCAAAAAAAAAAAAGGATAAAACTTCAAGGATACGAAAAATAAATAGTATTTGAACTTCATACATTAATGTTTGCTAGAGAATCTCTTGTGGAGGACCCGATATCGACAATGTGTACAATTGGTGACATGCTAGCATAAACCTGCAAAACTCATAGCATTAAACATAGGAGAAAGAATAAGAGCAAGATTATATTAACAATGTTGATGATTATTGCCTTTTATAGATAAGAAAGTAACTCACAAGGTGTCTTTGATCAGGAGACAGGGACGTATCAGTAATTGTCCACCTCAAGTTTCGAGCTAGAACGTTCTTTCGAACTTTCCATCCTTTTTCCACATCGTATATTCTAATTTCACTCCCCTGTTTCAAAAGAAACCGACAATAATACCATTCTAATCATTTCAAGAGAAACGATCAAGAAAAGATAATATATATATGTATATATATATATATATATATATATATATATGTGTGTGTATAACTAAAATCACACCACCTTCAGTACAATGCAACTTGTAAAAGATAAAACACATGTGAAGGGAATATTTCATATTTGTATAAGTTAAGCCAAACCTAACAGATTCATACAATTTGCAACTAACTCTAAAAATGGTAAGAAAATAAAAATGAAAATCCAATCCAAGAATTCCCCAAAACCATATACACTACTTTCCAGAAGCTCTACCTGAAAAGCAGCAACAAAAAGGGACCCATCGGCCGAAAACTGAGACACGTAAGCTCTTGACACCATATGGTCAACAATCGACGGGCCATTGACCGGCAAATATCTGCTCAAAACATGACGGCAGTCACCCGACGTAAACCGCCCTTTTCCCGAGAGGTTTGCTTCTCGCCCAGCCAACATCTTCAAGGTCGAAACAGGAAATTCACGCTTTCCAGGAAAAACACGGCTCAGATTCTCTTGTGGGCCCGACTGAAGCTTAGTCAACTGAGCTATATCGTTTTCTAACAAGCTCGACTGTCTGTTGGGCCGAGGGCTTTCGATAGGCTCTTCGTTCGAACCCAAACCATCGAGAGCCTCAGTTTCCATCTCTAATCTGCTAAAAGCGTAGCCCATATTCTCAAAGTCGGGGTCTTGATCGATATATAGCATTTTCCGAGCTAATTTGCCCGGAAAAAATCTAGACAATCGAGAGTTTATGCCATAACCAGTAAAGGACTGCAAGCTTCTAGCACCTGGGATAAAGATTGGATTTTTGTTATGTGTGAATATAAAATAAATAGCAGAAACATACAGAAATCTTGGAAATAAGCAACTATATGATTCAATAATCGCTACAATATAAAACGCACTTATCCACACAGAATTATAGACATGATAACCATAAAAAAAACGAATTTCATTTCAAACACATCCGATACATCGGATTCCATCGAAAATCCATAAACAGGAAAAATCAAGAATAGCATTTTCCAAGCAATTGTGTGTGCCCAGGCAAAAATCAAGACAGTTGGGATTTTTATTGGGTTTGGAGTTTAATAGCATGACCAATAAAGGACTGCAAGCTGAGCACCTGGAATAAAGATTCGATTTTTCCTATGTATCAATTTACAATAAATGATGGGAATCATGCAACTCATGAATATGGGATCATTTCCTTTTGATATTGTATACACCCACAAGCTAAAATTTTAGTGACACTGAAAAAATAAATAAATTATACATCAAGGGCTCCAGCAGAAAATTATAGCAAAAAACACTCATATATCTTGTAAATAAACAGCTGAATAATTCAATAATCCGATACAGTAAAGAAAAAACACTTATCCATATCAAGTTTCATTCCAAAAAAATCGACATATTTGATTTCTTTTGAATTTCACTCCAGGCAGTGCCGAAAAAACTATAAAAACGGAGAAATCAAGAATGGTAAAAAAAATAAAAAATAACAAAGTAAAGAATATGAATAGCTTCTATCATTTCGG